TTAGAGATCAGCCATTAGTAGGCTGTCAATCTAGCAAGCGCTAACAGTCTTCTGGGCAGCTAGGAGGAAGATTTAGTCCACGGCTTCCAACAAGGAAGTAGATTTGAGATCATTACAGGGCAGATAAATTTATCTCCTATAAGGGTATTATGTATGAGCTGATGTAGGATATGGGACAATTACTGTAGTCATGTGGATAATGGAGGCAAATGTGCACAGTATAAAAGTATATTTATACTTGACAATGATATAATTTAAGTAATATATGGAATACATGCTAATTAAATGCTGAATGCCATGAATATTAGCATATTGGTCCTTAATTCTCCTTACAAGAAGTCATTAAGAAGTTGATGCCTATAAATTAGGATCTCTTTCTTGCACAGTCAAGTATAGGACTAATAAGGTATTACTCTCAGATAGACTCTTATTATACCTTGGTAAAATTTGTTTTTAATTATTTCATTGTTACGACTAAACGTATGTATTAGTTTTATTAGTGCCAGAATATCCCCGAATCAAGTTCAATTTGTTTACTATTCTGAATTGAAGTTGTGTTTATTTTCAGCCTTTCTCAGATATTTGACATCTAGTTACACAAGTGTAGTTGTATCTTATTTCATACCAAAGCATGGCATATAGTTCACTCAGTAACATCTAAATAGTCCACAGACATGTATTTATTTCAGTTACTTCTAAGTCAAAATATAATTTTTAAATTCATTGCTTGTTACTGAAAGGAAGAAGAAAACCTCCTTTATCCTCAAAGCCTCTGACAGAACAGGCGATGGCATTGAGATGCAATGTAAACAAACCTGTGATGTAGGTTACACCCTAAGGACAAACAGTGTTTGTTAGCGGTGGCACTGAAGAATAAGGAGCAAACTATTTAGCATCTAAACAGACCGGTGTTGACATTTGCAGGTACGTTTTGAAACTGTTCGGTGCGCTACTGACAGCTGCTGATTTGCTGATGTCTACTGAATAATTTTGGCAGAATGTTGACAGAGTGGGGAAAAAAGGGGTTGGAAATTATTGCAAGTCTGTCTTAGAAGTGTTCACGTTATTCAAAAATGGTTACACCCCATTTAGAGATTTTTAGAGAGCCAATTTGTATGCTGTAGCAGAAAACAACAACAAGAACAACAAGAAAAAAAACCCAACAAAAACTTGCAGTCTAATTCCAGTTGGACTTCAAAAGTTTTGATTTGAGTCCACATTCACTATAAGACCTTCATTTGTCTGTAAATCAGCCGTCCCTGTCGGCTCTGCCTGAGGCACACCGTCCCTGAATTAACCTGTCTGAGGTATGGAATCAGAACAACAGAATACCTTATTTTATCTCTTCAAGTCTGAGAGAAGTCTGTTTCCTCACCAGTTTTATTATCACCGTCCACGATCGACAAACACAAGCAATCAAAATGGAAGATCTTGAGCTCTTAATCTGTAGTTACCTGTTCAGAAGGCATTTGATGGCCTTAAAATACAGAGCATTTAGATTTAATTGTGAATGTGCGTTATGCAATGAACTTCAGATAACATTCAAATAATTTAATAATGTATATAAATTCAAATAATTTATAGACCTTGCTTTCTTTCCAGTTTTTCTGTCTGCTCAGTCTGTTTGCCTCCGCTTTTAATCCCCTTCTTTCTTTCTAGTTTGCCAACAGTTCCTCACCAGCACTTCCCCTCTGGAGATGGGGGAATGTAAAATATGCATCCTTCCAACACTCTGCTTGTCATCACCCAACCACACACACACACACACACACACACACACACACACACACACACACACACAGAGAGAGCAGTGCACATTTCAACAGACAGGTGTACCCACTGCAGTGGTATTGATGGTTTGCTATGGCTATGGCATTCATGGCTAGTATATGTAGTTTTTATCCTCAGTACTCCTGAACCCACCACAGTAACAGACAGAACATCTAAACTAACAACCTAAAAATGCACTTGATGTACTTTGCTTTCTTTGGTGTGTTTGATGAAGGCTTGTTTGATAGTATGCAAGTACAAATTTTCAGAAAGGGTCATTGAGAATCCAGTCTGTCCAGTCTCATATATTGTCTTGTGTAATGTAGCCCAGCTGACATGAGGCTTATTCTAAGGTGTATTTAAGTAACCACAAAAGGTGTTTTGATTTTTGTTTCCTTTTTTTTTAAAATCATTTTTGGCTGTTTGGTCTTGCTTACAATGGAAAATTGTGGAGATGAAATTAATCTATGTTGGCAGAACAGCAGCAGAATTATCAAAAGATCCATGTAAGATATTTTTGTAGACTCACTACCGTAGTAGTAAATCTCAGAATACCCTAATGAACAAAGTTAGAAGGAAAGTTTCAAATTAAATTCTATGACCAATAGAATTATGAAATATAACAACTTCAATGATCCCTGGAGAATAATATGTCTACTATTGCAAAGGGAACTTGTCACGTGTCACCACCACTTCAGGGCTAATGACTCTGTAATGGCACCATTTATCCATTTAGCCTCATTGAGTTCTATGCAGTGCTGGGCCCGCCAGGTTCTTTGCCCGTTGGTGGATGCTTCAAGTACTTGACTGCGAGTGAACCATTGGAGAGCTGGTGAGTTCCAAAGCTGTCTGTGACTGCAATGGATATAGTGGTGTCAAAATCAGTTCAAAACATGCTGGGACTTTGATCTACAATGAAGATTTTTAGGTACTGTCACATATCCTCTTCAACTGTTGGATTACTAGATGGGGAAATTAGCTGGTTTCCTTTGATAACTATAATAGTGGTATTAAATAATAAGTTGAGGTATAAAAACTGCAAGGGCTATTCATCATATTGTATCATATAAGCAGAATGTCTCTTCATTGCATTTCTGAAACCGATTATTCTGAAGTATGGGAGGAGGGGCAAACCTGAATGTGACAAAGACATTGATGGGTTCAACTAAATTAAACTGACATAAGCCCACCCATTGTTCATCGGAGTGTACCGTGTTGTGTCACTTAATCAGCACGAAGCCTCCAAACTAGCACAGCTTCTAAACTTCACAGGGGAAAAACTGCCCAGGAGCAATCTTAGATTTTAAGCAATCTTGGTCAATCTGACCAAAAATGGTTTAATATTAAGTTTAGTATTCATCCACACATTCTGCGGTTCAGCAGAAAAGGCTGTGGGATATAGTTTCTTAAGTATCTAGTGTCAGAGGAAGGAGCAGGTTGTACTAAGTATAAACAATAACTTAGAGGGATACATGATTACCTGAAGAGGAGTTGTCACAGGACTTGTCATTTTTTTTCATGTTAAGACTGAAGTAAATATTTAACAGCAAGAGACAGTGTGCACTCTGTTTCATTCTTTTTACATTCTCCGGTCGATAACAGTAGATTTGTTCAGTCCATACTGTGACCTTCTCAAATGCACACATGATCTGGGAATTCTCTGGAAGAGTCTAACTCAACATGGTGATATTATTGTTATTAATAGCAATAGTTTTGTAATAATAGTTTGTTGTAAGGGGATTTGCTCAAATAACTACATTAAAAAAAGAAAACAAAATTTTAAAAAAGCATTCTGTTGGGACTTTAAACTTCTAGTTTAGAGTTTTGATTTATATGGATTTACATTATTTAAAACTCTAATTGAGGATAAAAACATTCTTGTGATATTGCCACCATGCAAGTTCGACACCCTAAGTAAACCAAATGGTTTCTAATGACTAAGATATTGAAAAGCTAGATGCATGCATATCATTAAGCAACAATTAAATGATGAATGTATGATTCATAAATTGCTGAAATTATGCCAGATATTCATATAATTTGCATGTGCAACCATGTGCCATTAGAACTATGAAGTGATCAATGGTAGTGCAAGTTGATAATATTGTGAGTACATGTTTAACACAGTAGACACAGAATACAACACCGTAAGTAGATTTTAATGCTTTTTCAAAGACTTCCCTACAATGCCAAAAATATAATTGTTTGGTTAAGAAATACAAAATCCCTTTATTCTAATTATGTCTTAAGGCTAAAACAATCAGATTTAAGAATATAGACACTAATATTAGAATCAACCTTCACCACTTGAAATGTGTAAAAGTCCTGATCATTTCATTAAACCCCCGAAATCCAAAGAAACAATACAGAAGCTTTTTTTTATGGAGCCATGGCCCTGTCAGTCATCCAACAAACAGATTTTTGTCCTGTATGTATGTCCCACAGTGAATTCAGCAGTACAATTGTCACATGTTCAGTTGACATGACATGTATAGTACATCTAGGCCTCTTTAGTTTCAGCACCTTGGACAGCAAACACCACACTTTCACCTTTACACTGAGTTTCAGCACCATGGACAGCAATCACCAGAATTTTATTCTTATATTTAGTTTCAGAACCATGGACAGCAATCACCAGATTTTCATTCTTATATTGAGTTGCAGCACCATGGACAGCAACCACCAGTGTTTCATTTTCAGGTAGAGCAAAATACTCTACAGACCCTAGGCTATGGGGGATTTTTAAAAGCAAAGAGTTTTGCAGCAAGTCTTTCCAAGTTCACATGAACACAGTCATACAGTCACGTTGTATTTTATGCAAAGTACACAGCCTACACATGGCATAGTGTGGCACCTTCTGAGCAACTCAACGCCTTCTCACTTTGTAGTGGTTTCAGTTTTCTCAAAATCTCTCATGCCTGTTAAACCATACACCCTATCTGCTTCTAAGCTATTAGATCTTCCTCAGTTTTGCCCCCTTATTCAGTAAAAGGCCAAGCCCTCTATGGTGGTCAAACCATAGCCTTGGTGTAAATATTTACCTATCAGCAAAGAAAAGTCACGACACGGCTTCTTATCCTCACCCACCCTCAGTTCCCTCGCCTTCCGCTCATACAGTCCAGACCCACCCCTTACTGTCTGCCATGACCGTCCTCTACAATACGAGACTGTATTCTTTGTACCTCCCCTTTCTCGCCCTCAGTCTGTGCATCCCAGCCTCCCTTCCTAGATATCCATCCCACACCTCTCCACCCGCAAACGGCTCCTACGGTGAGAAAAAAAAGAGAGCGGAACAGTTTCAAACACGTCGGCATAAATCTCACATTCAGAGCTCCCTTTTCTCCTTTCCCTCCTGACGGACTTCATTACTTTATTCCTCTGCGCGCCAATGCCCGAGACCACGCCGAAACGAAGGATTTTTTTCCCTTGAGCATGAAAAGGATTGCCAAATCATCCGCAATCCAACATCACCGACTGAGCCACCAGCATGAGCACTGGATACATATGCTCCAGCAGAAGTTGTTGGCTAGAGAACTAACAAATCTTGGACCACAAATACAGCGAAGAGGGGAGAGTCAGTTTTAGGTAAGTGCAGCTTGGACCTCTAATAAGATTTGAAGGTATCTTTACGTGTATATTATATATTTATATATATATATATATATAATTTTCTTCTGTGTATCACTGACCACGAGGTAGTGGTTGGGTAGGCAGGGCTATATTGTGGCACAATTATGGCGATGTTGCGTGGTCAGCATGTTACTGAGGTGGCCGCTGGTGTCCTTTGCAGGATGGAGGCATTTTTTTTTCTTTCTCACTGTCAAGCTACCTTTTTATAACACATAACCGGTCCGCAAGTCTTCTCTTGCTCCGCCCGGACTGAACGTCGACGGAGCGCTCCGAGGCTATTAAAAATTATATCATGCGACTTAGTGTCTTATAAACACATCATCTTCCAAACATTCTGCAAACCAGTTTTTTCTCTCGCATTTAGTGCACTCGACTGCTCATCATTTCCCCCCCCTGCACGGTCTGAGACAGCATCTTCCCGACGTGATGCTGCAGAAGTGCGGATATAAAGGAGCATTAAACACTGAGAGAAACAATGATCAGAATTTTGGGTTCGCACATTACGCAGACCTGCCGCGGCTTCGCTGAATGGCACCACAGAGGCAACATTCAGAGTGAAGGTGTATTAGCAGGCCTGCAGATCACTGTGCAGTGGGCATCAATATTTGTATTCAAGCTAATTCCGTTTGCAGTCCAGTTGTGGTGGCTTCTTTTTTTTTTTTTACATCCATGTTGATCAATTCATCCCGGAAACTGCAAGATCCATTAACTTAAAGTGAGTGTCGTCCCAGCTTTGGATATTGGATATGGAATGAGTTGCAGTCATGCTTCCTGTCATTATTATTTTTTTCTACATTCCGTGTTATGGATGAATTGCTGCCTGTAATGAATTCTGTGAAAGCAGATAGTCAGCTGGATCTGTGTTTATGTGTACGTGCTGGTCTCTTTTGTACGCGTGCTCTGTGCGCGTGCACGAAAGCGAGCACGTACATGCTTATTTTGGTGTGTTTGTGTGTGTGTGTGTGTGTGTGTGTGTGTGTGTGTGTATGTATGTGTGTGCGTGCGTGTGTATGTGTGTGTCACCACTGAGGCAAAGTTGCCGTTCCGTGTTCCCTTAAGTTGCTTTGATTGCTGTTCCACTGACTAACTGCGAGGGGAGCTCATGCTCTTTTGGACTAGGTGTCATTATGTGGCTAAAGGCAAGATAACTGTGTATGATACTGATACCAACTCTATGAAAATAGAGAAGCGTCTTCAGTTTCAAATTGGTCTGGAAGCATTCATCTGCACTTCCATGACTGCCACTGCAGTTTTTGTTTTGTTCGTCATTGTTTTCTCTTTTGAGGCTAATTAGCTACATTTGTGTAGAATTGAGAAATATATCCAGAAATAAATGCACTTTATGCTTTCATGATTGCCAGGTTTAGAGTACAAGATATTTGCCTCATTTCAGAACATTTGAATAGGCCACAATGAACAACGCAACATCTGAATCTAACTGAAACACTGTTTAGCTTAGCCTGCTCTTTAAAGAGCAAGAAACTGTGTGCGGCACCCAGCTGTGAATAATCCCCCAATACTGAATTTGAACTTCAAATTAAGCTTCACTGTTTGAAATTAACATTACACTGACAGCAAATCAATCCATCCCGTGATATGGTTCTGCTGTCTTCTTCTCCGCATGTGCAGAGTAGAAAATTGCCTTGGCGGCGGAAATTGCAGAAGAAGAGCTGCCTCATTCAGTATGCCTCATTCAATCTGGTGGCCTTTTCAATGGCAAAATGCTGGCAACATGTAATCATTTTCTGAGGGAAAGCATTCCACATGACATTGCCAAAATGAAAATGCCAGCAGTAGCTTAAAACTGTATTTGTGTCATGGCTTTAGATGACCCGATGTTGATGATGCTTTCAGGGCCTGAAAGGAGAACTTTCGGCAGCAGAGGGACTTTGACAGACCTTGGCAGTGCAACTTCCTGCTGAATTGTGTGCAAAGCATGTGGTCGTGATTCTTAAGATGCACGGAAATAAACACTCATCACCTTAATTAGAAGGAGTGGATGATACAATTCATGCATTCACCCTATGCACACAGTGCTGCCACATCCCCATTGTGCCTAGATATGGATATCATTTACAAACAGTCTTTGTGAGGGATAGAGAACAGTACAAGTCTTGTATTGGCAGAACCCACCACCTCTCTCTCTCTCTTTCTCTCTGTCTCTCTCTTTGTATTTTTGTACTGGCACAGCATTGTTTTTATGTGGGTGCTGGCTGCAGCTGTAGTGGCCAGAAGGCTGTCTCCCAAGAGGTTTGAAAAAAAATCTGTTTTTATCAGAAACAAACAACAGGGTCACATAATGACATGTGACAAAAGCTCACAGAATTGCTGGCGAGCTTACAATATTCTGGAAAGGCAGCTGAATCATTTGACCTCCACTAGGGGCCGTCTGACCTGTATGCTGCTGCTATCAGTCCCGTAAGACAACATGGGTCTAACCCTGCTCGTACAGTTTTACGTCTAAAAAAAAAAGAGTTCTCAGCCCGAGGCTCTTAATTAAAGAGTTGGTAGTTGATCAGAAGTAATTAATTGCTGTCTAGCACATGATAAAATGTAAACCATCTTAAGCCTTGATTAACAATTGCAGAAGGAAATTTTGTTTTAGTTCTCCACAATGGCCCTCAAAGAAAACCTACCTTCCTTGTACAGTGCATACATTCAAACTGTAGGAAGACACCGACTTATTGTCTGATGAGGGACGTTTTGAAATTCATAGCTGGATCTTCCCCTCTTCGCCGTCTTTGTCAGTTATTGCAGCCACAAAATTTGGGCACAGTGTGAAGCCTCAGGGGAGCTGAAACTGGGCTCAGAAAATCTTCACAACAGGGATAATTTTATTGTTATAAACTATTTAGGCATTCTATCCACATAATTCTGCATCTGAATGCAGTGGCCTCTCTCGCTCGTCTCCCTGGATCCCCCTCTTTCTTCTCTCACAGCAGGAGACCCCAGTCTGAATGTTTGTGAACATGAGCACCATTTTATGATACAACCAAGAAATACATTGGACATTAAAAGATAGCAAGAAAACAGAAATCTATTATTTATTAGACAAATATATATGCACCTGAAAGAAACCTGGGTGGGATGTTATGTCAAAAAAATCATTAAATATAAACTTTATTTGCAGGAGCTGTAGTTGTGTAGAGTTTTGTATTGGATTATAATTGGCAATATATTTTTGTGTTTTCACTTTAGATTTGGAGACAAACCAAACATGACAGTATCAGGAAACACCTAAATGATATTGGCATGACTGGAATATTTTAACTAGTATATATCATCAGTGGTTGTTGAGGGTTTGTGACTGAAACCTAGTAAAAGAAAAAAAAGAATACTCCTTATTTACTTGTTCTGAAGACTTTTGCTTTCAAATGTGCAAAAACAGCAGACCTTGCATAATTTGATAACGCACTCATACTTCTCTGCAAACTATGCATCATGACCTTACATTTAGTGGTTGCCAGGGAGGAGACACTGGATAGAAAAGTGATGCTAAATTGAGCATCCACAGAGCTGACCCCTGTGTCATTAAGCGCTGCCAGGGAGTTCAGTTATTACTCTTTAAAAAATATGATAACTCACTGACAACACACTAATAACTACAGCAATTCATCTTTCTTGACACTGCCTTGGTCTTTGCTGGCCTGGTGACAGCGCTGGTTGTACATCTATTTGAGTTTTCTGCCCAGTGTGTCTGTGAGTAGGTGAAGGAAAGAGATGTTTTGATTTGCTGTGGTATTTTACGTCACGCTTAAAAGTACGGGTCTGCGCTGGGCGGCGATTACACATAGAACTGTTGCCACCCATGTTCCCTGCAGCAGTATACCTAGATTCCATCTGGTCTAGAAGTTGTGCCTAAGCTATTTCAAACAAAATAAAGTCCTCTCAGCTGTAAAATATCCGAGGACCCCCATTTGTATTGAGATGAAATGCAGTTGTGACCACGAGTTGACAATTAGCAAGTTTCTTGTGGTGAATTTCTTCCCTCACCTGCATCTGCTTCGTAATTTTGTGGGTAGCCATGGTATAAAAAACATTTTGGGGGAAATATAAAGCTGTATGGATTATGTTCTATATTGCCATATCATGTTGATATATCTAAACTAAACTAAAACTTTGTCGACAACAACATATTTTTGCATACTGCTCACTTTTTCAGTACAATATCCACTTGTAGCAGCTGCAGTGAAGCATCATTTAACTATTGTTAAAGCTGCTTCAATGAGTATTTCTGTATTAACAATGGATCAAATGACTGTGTTACGTGAAAGGGATTACAAGTAGTGATGAACCCACAGAGAATTACCACTCTTCTCTGCAGTTCACCTCAGCTCCTTGCTTTGGTTTTAGGGCCCACAACTTTAATGTTCCCGTTCACTCTTGCTGCTCATAAATACATCATCACAGATGGAGCAGACTGTCAGAAAAAAGAAGAAAGAAAAGATAAACCCTCTGGATGTTACCTGCCCAGCACCAAGCACACAACAGCAGACAGACAAAGTTTGCGATTTTCTGGTACAACATAGTGTAGCATTTAGCCACTAAACAACTAACAGATATTTCCTTCAGTAAATTGGAGACCAAAACAAAGCTAGAAGAGTGAATACATTCTTAAAATGGACACAAACACAAATGCGAGTGCTACTCTGTGTCTGCTCACTGTATAAATAAGACATTGTTTGCTTGTTGCACTGCCCCCGAGTGGCCAAAATGATCTATTAACGCAGACACCACTTCCTGCATTAGCCGATGAACATTGTAAATTGGTTACACGTAAATTATCGTGTATAGTGGTTGAAGAAAACCCCAACCCAGGTATCTTAGCCATTATGATCAGTATACGCTCAACATTCAAACACATTCTTTCAACAAAATAATACACACACAATCCACTTGAGGCAGCTTGTGTGAAAGATTTGCTTCTTGCCTTGTGCTTGTACAAAGTTCGTGTT